CATAGTTTTAAAATGTAATAATAGTTGCATGAAAGATTTTTAAAATTATAAGTATGACATCATGATTCTGGGAAAAGGGTGAAAAAAAATCTGTATTTAATAAACACTTTTAAAAGTAGCCAGAAGAAACCACCTTTAAACTAGACTGAAACATGACCATGAGCACTCCAGCAATGTTACTGGAGGCAAGGAAATTCTCTTACAGACATATTCCTCTGTGACGAAACTTCAGCATGTCAGAGGTCATGATGCAAGTTCACTTCGATTTCATTAAGCAATTTAAGTACAGTGGTTGCCAGACTGCAAGCAAATTAAGGAAAAGGAACTCAACAACAGTGTGATGCAGGAAATGTCAGAATGAGCTGTGGGACACAGAGGTGGAGTGTTTAAAGGTGCATGAAAGCAAAGAAATAATAAGGCACGGAAGAGAGCTGACACATGTGACTAGCAGAGGAAAAATCTTGAGCGTTTGGAAATGCTAGAGCCAGAGGGAATTGTTACATTAGCATTATTTAAATATTCATAGGCCTTATGACTTAATTACAATGTTTTCTCATGGAATTTATAGGTGAGTGCATGTGGACACACAGAGATGCGAGTTACTGTTACAGATACTTTTATTCAACCAAGACCAAATGCAAAATAAAACAAGCTCAGTGGTGCAGGACAAGAGTGAAATTGCGTATAGCCACAAGATTCATGCTGAATCATTTTCTGATCTAGCCAGTTTGAAATGATTTTTAGATTTTGAGATGTCTGATTTATGGAGTCATACCAGTTGTGACGGCACATCAGAGATGAATACATTTATGATTCAGTAATATGACTCTTTTCAAAGGTCTCTGATGGTTGATTCAGTGTTTTGATTCTACCCAAAAGTCAATAACAGCTCATTCCTTAATGATCCATCTCACATGATTGTTAGTGAAAGTCTCTGAGAGTTGGTTCAATAATGTAATTCAGGTGAGGTGTGTGAATTTGATAGGTTAGTGATTGTACACAGAGATCTGTGAATGCTGACACACCATTCGTTAGGTCCCATTCTGCGGTCGTACACTCGAACCGATCCGTCTCCAAGACCTGCAGCTACCAGTGACCGCTGAGGATCACATGACAGGCTGGTCACACAGCTGTCTGCTCCTGTTGGGATGTCCTGCAACACAGACACAAAAGCTGAATGAGTTTTTGGAGGAATGCAGTTAAATATCATTTAAATACTAAAGCATTTCAATACCATACTAAGACATATTATTGGGAGATAAAAGTGACAACTGATATTAATATGCATTTTATGTAAAATTTAATTGATTTACAAGCTATCGGAATATTATTTTACTTTTTGGCCATATAAATATCAGCAAACAAATTGAATAGTTTCCCTCAGTTTGGGCCTCTGAATAAAACTGATTTTATAAATAGATTTACAATGGTCGCTTTGGTTAGACAATGGTTGCTCCAGTGCAGACACAGTGTAAAAGCTCAATAAACTGTATTTCGAAAAATAGATTTTTAGTACAAATTAGAGTATGTTGCGGTTCAATACTTCAAGATGTATCATAATATTATAATTGGATCACATCTGAAACTGCATCACAAGTGTGAGAGAGACACAACCTATGAGAATGGAACAGCAGGATCAGTTTCTATCGTTTCTAGTGTGGTTTGCTTCACATTTGTCCAGTATGGCTTCTCATAAAAGCAAGTCTGACTGCAGAGTGAAATGCCAGCTTTAGAGTTTCTGCTTTAGACAAATTGCTAAATTGAACTGAATGACTACTCACCAAAAACAATCACACAAGGTTCTACAGTATCAATCAATGGAAACGTTCACGTAGGAACTTTGAAAAGTTGTAATTTTAGGCAGAGAGGGAAAGCAGAGAGGCCAGAGAGACTAATAGGGAAGAACGTTTTATTTAACTATGAAGCAAGACAGTGGTGCACATACAGTATATGATGGCACTACAAATCTCATCTGATGATTTTAAGGTGAATGTGTGTGTATTTGTGTGTGTGTGCCTGTGCAACTCAGCCAGTACCTGCACTTTCATTTCCCTTTCTGTGTCCCAGATACGTATGACTCGAACATCACCTGACGTCATCAAGAGGCCAGTCTCCTGCTCCCAGTCCACCACCATACCTGCACCTTCAAAAGAGAGTACAGAAGGTTTACACATACACAATCAAATATACAACTCTCTGGGCTCTCCTGACATGTCTGTAAGTTATGAAAAAAGATAATACAGTCACACATTCACCTTTTGGTTTTCATTTCTTTCAGAACAAAAATGTTGGTAAATGCACCACTTTCTCAAAGATGCACACCTCTTAAAGTTTAAACCAAATAAAGAAAAGAAAGAAAGAAAGAAAGAAAGAAAGAACACACAAGTATTTTAATAAAAAAAATTAATCAATAAATCAAAGCCACATATGGGGCTGGATTAAAAAAAGATCAAGATCAGCAAATCTTAAACTGAACCTTTTAGCTTGCAAAAGCACTAACTCGCATCTTCAGAAGTGGTTAAGAGGTCTATGGTCCAGGGCCATTCTTATGACAGTAAGAACGATGTGAACAGAGATGGAGGAATTACAAAGATCACTTAAAAAAAAAACAATAAACCAGCAGACACATTCATACGACTGTCAATGTGTTAATTTCAGGATTAAGTGGCAATTTATTAATGTGGCGAGTTATTCATGCTGACACCAATCAAAGATAAGATGATTTCATTTATGATCCAGTAACAGGTGTCACGAATTCGGTCCATGGACTTCCGTTTATTCACCACCAGAGGTCACCCTTTCCATTACATTGACTCTCGCACTACACAAACATTCTCTTTGAGAGACTCAGCTGTCTGATTCTCCTTTGTAGACTAGATGTCATTGCAAATAACAAAACGATTTCATTAGTGTGCGGATAATATAGATTATAGACAGCAACTGTAGATTAAATGAATAAAATATAGATAAAATGTAGAATAAATGAATAAAATAACAAAAACAAGTGGTTGTCAAGTGGTTCTTAACTGGTTTACTTCAAGATCCAAATTTAACAATGAACATCAAAAGGCAACCTAACAGACTTTATTGTAAAAAAAATCGGTCATTGCAAACTATGTTTTTGGTTGTTTCTTGTATTTAATGCTGTGTGAGTCATATTTTCTCTTGTGTTTACCTATGGTTTTCAAGGATAAGGACTTGTGTATGTAAACATACACCCAAACACCACAGCCTTACATGCTTGTTGAACATTTAATGTCAAATGTGCATTAACAAGGAGCTGATTTTCCTTTTGCTGCTATAATAGCTTCCACTTTTCTGAAAGGCATTCCATTAGAACACGGCTGTTGTGATGTTCTTGCATTTAGACACAAGAGCAGATTATTCAGCACCAGACATTGATTTTGGTATTGCAATTCAACCCAGAATGTTCAGTGGGGTTCAGGTCTTTGTGCAGGCCCGTTAAGTGCCTCCACACTAGAGTTTTCTCTATGGACCTTGCTTGTACATTAAGGCACTGTCATTTAAATGTCTTTAGAATGTCACTGTATGAAGTAGCATGAGTAGATTTGTTTTCACTGGAATAGCCAAACCTGCTAATTACAAGCAGGTGTCCACATATAAAGTTTATAGGTGCGTCCCAAATTGCATACTTATTAGGGATGCACCGAAACCGATACTGGTATCGGTATCGGGCCCGATACTGATCTCCTGTACTCGTACTCGTACTCGTTAAAATGCCCCGATACCACACAGCATGTGATAAGTGCCATATTCAGACAAAGAAACACCGACAACAGACAGCAGAATGGAGTTATTAGAGATTAAAGATGTCTACGAAGTATATGTATGCAATGAATATAAAACATTCAGTATTAATGCCTGTATAGCTGATGTGAGCGAGCTGATCACGCTGAGTGGATGGAAAAAGTGGTATCGGTGCATCCCTAGTACTTATGCACTATTCTATGACCCGGATGAAGTGTGGAATGTTGGACATTTCATGCACTCAATTTTGTCGCAAAGGGGGAGGGGCTATCAGACTCCGATTATGAATGACAAAATAACCTTATGAAATTCATACACTACATGGTTGAGTACATAGTGCATAAGTACATAGTGTATAAATGCATAGTGTGTCATTTGGGACGCAGTGTGTCTATGAAGGCTTGAGATTTGAACAGCTCATTTTCTGCACAAATGCACTCATATTGGTGAGAGACTCAGGTTGGGTTCTGTCTTAAAATTTGACAGCACTGGTCAGGTCACAGGGCTTCCAGCTTCAGCTTATTGCCTGAGTAGACCTCTAGATTAAACTGACCAAAACCAACTTCCAATTTACTGCAAAGCTTCTGCTTTCACGCTATCGGCAAGAGGGGTACTGACTGATCTTGAGCCCTGGTTCAGTTCTGACTGACTGGCTGTCATTCTCTGATTCTATTCAATCATTACAGAAAAGAACAACCTTATATGATTGTCCCAAACACACAGCCAAAAGTTATGTGGATCAAGACATGCTGGAAGTGTAGCACTGCTGCCCTACTTTCTGCTGTCTATCAAACATCCAATTTTAGGATTGGAAATCCTATACATAGATAAATACATAGATATTCTTATCAATACAAACATACATATTTTCTTCTTAAAGTAGCACAATATACACCTGTGTGAACACCCACAAATTCTGATTCAAGAAAGATTAACACACACACTGTGATGTTGCTCAGGGAATATTACAAAAAGCAAACGTTTATACAACATTTTCACTACCTTTCTTCAGATGTTTGTTATAATAAACAAGAGCAAAAAGCTCACACAAAATTCACAAATTTCAACAAAAATGCTATGTTCATCATTGATAAATTCCTACAGTTTCTATATCTCCTGTGTGTTTGTAAATTTGAGCTAATTTAATTTTGCTTTCATCAACTAAATTGAGCACCAGACTAAAATTAGTTTCTCTACTAAAATGAGCTCTGTACTAAAGCTACTTTTACTTACTTTCTACAGAATTGTGCCTATTTTTTCACCAAAAATAGTGCTTAAAATGAAGAAGGAAAAAAATTCAATACTGGTAAGCTTTGACTTCCACCAATCAGAATTGAAATATGAATTAAAAGAGCCAATCGGATGAATGCAGAGAAAAATGTTAGGCTATAATTGGGAATGGGAAAACATTAGATGCTCAGTGTCACATGTGCAAACACCAAATAGCGGTGAAGGAAAAGAAGAGAGAGAAGCACTCACCTCCCTGCTTACTTCTGTCAAGATAGATTGAGACCCGTCGGGTCAAACCTGTGAAAGGAGAAGAGGAAGAGAAGGGAAGAGCACAGGAAGGAGATCAGGAGGGCCGGTCAGTTTATCAGCCAGAAGACACCACCATGTTAGCACACATGTAAACACACACCAGAATGTGATCTGTAGCCCTGTCCCAAATAGGGCACTTCATGCACACTTGTGGTCTTGCAATAGCTTTTATACAAATGTCAGAAAAGTCCACAAGATGGTAGGGTGTTTCATCTTTCAATTTAGGTTTCAGAAGGGGGCTCGAGAATGCCTCCATAGTGGTTACCATGCACTCTCAATTCACACTTGGCCTATCAACACTTTATATGTGGCATTACATGATTAAAGTATGGCACAAGGTTTCAGGGTAGCATTTGGGACTGGGCCTATCAGACTCAGACAAACACACACTTTTACATGGAAACGGGCTCTCTCTCTCTCTCTCTCTCTCTCTCTGTCTCTCTCTCACACACACACACACACACACACACACACACGCACACACACACACACACAGATATGATCCACACTCATTTTCCACCTGAATTGAATTCCCCCCATATCTTATCTACATCCACACATACACACACTGCAGGAAAGTGAGGGAGAACAAGGCTGTGGTTTCTCAGCATGACATTTGCCAAGTAAATCAGGTTTTCTCACAGGGAGCCGAATAGCAAGGCTGAAATCAGTTCCCAGAGCCAAAACTTTGCTCATCCATCTTAAAGTAGCACAGATGTGCAGGAGTTCTTTAGGAAAGCCAGAAGCTCAAGAATCTTCTTGCGTTCGGATGTACGTGACTGAGATCTTCTCCTGCCATTAAGGTTTTTATTGTGAAAGAGTCATTCATTGGGTTATTATCCCAGGTATTTCTTTTTATTATTATTATTATTATTTGGTTATGATCTGGATTAATTTCATTTGGGAAATAAAGATTCTCAAGATGAGAATCTGTGAGTGTATATATATCTTTTTACTTTACTACGTTTTATTTCATAAAACATATCGTAACTCCTTATAATATATCACGTGCTCCGACACGCAGAAGCGGTGTCTGATTCAAGAACGAACTGATTCTTTTCAATTAACCTTTTAAATTGGTTCGCAAATCGCACCAAACAATTCATTAACGAATTAGAATGATCCGATTGCAGCTGTTCTCGAGTCGACAACTCACTGATTCATTTGGTTATGATCTGGATTAATTTCATTTGGGAAATAAAGATTCTCAAGATGAGAATCTGTGAGTGTATATATATATATATATATATATATATATATACACACATATATATATATATACTACATATCTTTAGCCTTGACATCAAGTATCTACATATATGTATCTAAGGATCTACACATGATAAAAAAATGGCATGATATGTATCATTTATATACCATATAACATGTCACCCGTCCCCTCTGTGGGACGCCTAAATTTACTTCACTATATTACAATTAAATCCTAATCTAATCATGACAAACTTTATATCGTTTGGAAAGGTCTAAGACTCCTAAATAGATATTTTACCACAGTTTTTTGTTAAAAATTATATAGGAAAAGTAATAGATTAATTTATGACAAGAGTGCAGCTCAAAAATCTACATTATAACAGGAGTTCTGACCTTTGTCACAAAAAGTCTTCTTCGTTGCCTTTTTCTCTATCACACTTTAGAAATAATCAGAAATTATATATCAATTGAAAAAACTTAAAATCTCAAAATTCATCCTTTAAAAAACAATTTTAAAATCAGACATTGCATTACCATGAAAATGGTACATCAAAATCATGTTACAAAATGTTTTCATTCATGAATTATAAAAAATGTAAGTTTGGATAGTGCACTTTCCACTATGTTCAAAAATGTGAGTGACAGTTAAGGGGTTAAGCCCACTGAAATGTTTGAATGCAGAGACATCAACATCTGTGTCTCTATGTTTTAGGACAAAAAAACTTTAATATATAAAAAACTATATAAAAAATATTAAAAACTTAATATAAATTTTTTTTATATTGTTTGGATTAACTAGCCGAGTAGACAGATATGAATGTTTATTCATAACCATACTGAAAATAAGTAAATATTGTTAGCTGATGCTAACTGTCTAGCTAACAAGCTTGCATGTGCTAAGTTGAGGTAATTTTTAGATATAAACTCCAAATATTTTTATTCAACCACTTCAGAACATGGTAACTACAGTAATTATCAAAGTGGGAAGTGATGCCCTCTGGGGGCATTTGGACAGGGGTGTTTTTACACCACAGACAAGGTTTGAGAAGAAAAAAATAATTATGAAAATATAATTATATTATAACAATACTAATCTTATATACAGGCACTGGACTAAAAATACATTCATCAATCATCGCTCCCAAAATGAATTCAACGGGTCATCTTGTTTGCTATACATTAATTACAACAATAAAATAAAATTTCATCATGAACAAGAACATGAACAACATCGCATTAGACCACAGAAATTCCAAAATGACATTTCCCTTACATTCAACTTCCAAAAGTGCATTCATCTTTGCCATGTTACATTCATTTAGTTGACTAGTGCTATATGCTGTATTAACAAACACATAAATTGCATTAATAAAAACAGTAACACTGACAAGCTACGCAATATCGCGTTCATAATCGAATGCAATTCACCTAATGAACGCGATATTGCGTAGCTTGTCTGTGATCTGCGGCTCTGTGTATTAAATGCCACTCCATCTGAAAGCACGTGATGGAGATTAACCGGTACTATTAATCACAGAATCGGCTTTACTGACAAGATGCGCATGACAATCACATGCGATTTATCGTGCAGCCCTAAGTGTGTTTGTTGATCACAAAGTACAAAGTAGATGAGGAAAACTAGTATGCTGGGTGTATTCAAATGCGCTTTTATTATGGTCTAGAGTGCGTGGAATGGTACGCTGTGATTGGTTGTTACCGTTTACAGTGCGTGGAATGGTGCGCTGTGATTGGTTGAGCGGATATATTGCATTCTGCAGAGAAGGGAGACTGGCGTTTGTCGCGGTTTGGAAAGAAAGGTAGAAAACATGACAGAATAACTCGATATAGCATTTTGCGTGAAATAAAAAAATTGACTTTTCAATACTGACCAGATACAATACTGATTTTGGCGGAAACTCAACTTTTTTAAAAATGGCGTTTATCGCGTTTTGGAACCAAACTCTTCAAATGTTCTTCCTAACTTCAGGCCTTATTCTCATGTAATATATAACTGTGATGTAAAAAACAGATGTAATACGGATAAACAAATGATAAAGCTTGGCTTATTGAATATCAGGTCCCTTTCTACGAAAGCACTTTTTGTAAATGATATGATCATTGATCATAACCTAGATGTGCTCTGTTTGACAGAATGGCTAAACCCTCATGATTACATTATTTTAAATGAGTCTACCCCCCAAGATTACTGTTATAAACATGAGCCACGTGCCCACGTCCAAAACGTAAAGGGGGAGGTGTTGCTTCAATTTATAACAATGTTTTCAGTATTTCTCAGAGGGCGGGCTTCAAGTATAAC